TGTGTGTGTGTGTGTGTGTGTGTGTGTATATATGTATATATGTGTGTGTGTATATATATGTATGTGTATATATATATATATGTATGTGTATATATATATATATATATATATATATCCTTGGCCCACAGCCTAGACTACAGAATTAAAGTCTCTCAGAGTGGTTTTTTTTTTCAGAGTGGTATTTTTTTTAAAAGGACCCACAGAGGATTCTGATGCATACAAAAGTTTTAAAAACATTTATTTAGAAAAATGTCAATTTATTAAACATTTATTTTCTTCCAGAACATTTTTCTTAATAATGAATGAAGTTGAATCGGGGTATCAACTTCTTATTGCTTTTTCCCCTTCCCATGTTCCACACAGACTCAGAGCATCACACACACACACACACACACACACACACACATACATTTTTAAATTCTGCCCTTGAATTAAAATGTGATAGTGGTAAAATCTGATAGTAGCAAGTAAATCAAGAAGATATGCAAGGACTTGCAATTTGTCCCCACTGTGCCCGAAACAAATGGATGTTTCCCATTTGCCAGAACGGAATGGTTAAAATATGCATTTCCAATTTGGAAATAGGTAAAATCAGCACTTCCTGGGAAACATCGGCTGAACGGATGCCAACAGACAAAAGTGAGCGAGGTTATAGCGGCCAACCATCAAAGAAAGGCGAGAGGGATGACTCCTCCGTTTGGAGATTGCCTGCATCTCAGCAAACACCTCATGCTTGATGGGCACCAAACATGCGGTGCTTCATCAAGGTAAGTAAAACAGAATAATGAAAACTGGTGACTGTGATTTAAAATGTCTTTAAAAAAAGAAAAGCATCAGTTTGCTCCACTGCAGCTCTTAATGCTGTTTAGTAACCACTTTCAGTTCTTGACTAGCTCAGAGTCTTCTATTCACTAGCTAGTCTAACCTAGAGAAGAGAGTGTTCAGTCCCCAGCGGCCGTCACAGGGGTCTCATCGCGCCGCCTGCGGTTGTAAAACAGAAGAGTCGCCTCTGGGTGTCTTGCAATGGAACTAACGGTGTCTGCAGAGAAATTATTTCTTGACACACAGAGAGTCCTCTGAAGACAGTCAAAATTCTTACGATGTCAAGAACTCATGAATAACAGCAAAACAGAATAGTCCCACTTCTTGGAAAAAGAAAAAAGAGGGGGGGGGAAATATGGGAGATAGATGCTACATAGAGACTAGGATATGTCTTTTAAAAAAAGTTCATTCAGAGTCAGCCGCAGTGAAATTTCGCTATGAAAAAACAGTCTTGTACTGCCTTCCGATACTGCTCTAAACGTTAGAGGCGACTTTGTACAGAAAGGTTGCTGGAGCTGGCTTGGGGAGCTGCTTGTTGCACGTTTCCCAGGGGGGCAGGGATGCCAGCAGCAGGATAAAACCTCCCAGCAGGACGCAGATGCCACTGAAAAAAAACGCGATGTCATAGGTCTGGGTCCAGTCATAAAACCAACCTGGAAAGAGGGAGAAAAAGAGTGAGTTTGATATAAAGAGTATGCCTCTGAAGCCCATACTCTAATTTCATCAGTTTTAGGCACAGCTCGTATTTTTCATCTATTCTCGAAGTGGCCTACTGGGATAATTTCTCAAAAATTTGGACAAGAACAAACAGGCATTTTGGGTTCCTCCCAAATAAAGAATAAACACAAGTCCCTGAGCGAGAATCTTGGCTTTTCAACTATAGCAAAGCGATTCTGAATAAATCATGATCATGACACTTTCCATGCAGATTTATTTTACGCACATCTGTGCTACAATCTGAGTCTCTATGTCTGGAGAACTCACAAAGAAGAACAGTAAAATGGGTGACTTTAAGATAAACGTCTTACCAACAATTGGCGGTCCAATGCTATTTCCAAGTCCAGCAAAGAACATTAGTATCCCATAGGCATGGGCTAATTTTTCAATTCCCACAGTCTTCGTGGTCACATAAGGGAAAATGGACCAATTACCGGTGAGAAACCCTAGGATCCCAGAAAGGATCGCCAACATGATGTAACTTTTGGCAAACGGAATTGCACACAAGGCCAGGCCCATGAGAATCAAGGTAGCGATGTAAAGGTACAAGGTGTTAATCCACTTGAAGTCAGCCAGTATCCCCAGGAGGAGTTTACCAACTGCGGTCATAATGCCGATAATGGAAATCAGAGGCATCACGAACTCTTCCTCCTTCACGCTCGAGCTTCTCGCCACGTCTTCCATAAGCAACGAAGGTGGAAACCCTCCGACGTCAAAAAGGAAGATAGCGATGAAGAGAGCGGAGAAGACTTTGTTTCTGAACAGAGCCGCAGTTTCTCCACAGTAGTTTCTATATAACTGCCACTTCCTCTTGGCAAGCTGTTTGCAAAAATATGTCTGTTCTGCAACTTTCTTTTTGTACGTTTCGGCCTCCTTGGCGTGCGCCGCGGGCGCTGGGGCTTTGCGAGGCAGGCTCTCCCGTTTCCAGTCCCCGCTGGCTGACGCGCTCTTGTAGGTCTCCTCGCTGCCGTAGCTCTTTTCCAGAATGTTTATGTTTTCTTCCAGGCTCTTTTCTTTTTCATTGTAAATGGAGTATCTATGTGGTACATTTTCCAGAGCTGCTTTTTCAGGCAAAGGGCCATCAGAGGCCTGGAGGGGTCTCATTAGGCTGCCACAGGCCAGTATATTTAAGGCTAAAGCGCCCACGATCAGCAGGCACCCGTCCAGCCCATAGTACTCGATCAGCAGCCTCTGCAGGGCAGCGTATATAAAAAGTCCAACGCTTGAACCTGGAAAGGAGATGGGAACTGTTCAGTCTTCATCTCTTATCACACGGGGCTCTCAGGACAAATATCACCAGTATCACAATTCAATTTCTTTTTCACACTGGCGCACACCTGTGCCATCGCATGAAAATCGCAGCAAGAATATTAAAGGTAATGGTAGCAACAACAGTAATAGAAATACTGATAGAATATTTATTTTAAGGATGAGCATTTGTAGTTCCCACAGTGTTAAGCGCTTTACATTGCACGATCTTGTTTGATCTTGATAATGATCGTATTGCGGAGGCCCTGTTATTATTGGGGATTGACACGTGAAGTGGCCTAGGGCTAGAAAGGTTGAGAAATTTGCCACCGGTCTCAAAGCTGTAAATGGCATAAGTAGGAGTCACATGCAATCACCTGACTCCTGGAGCCCATATTCTTAATAAATACCTTACGCAATCACTTTTTTTGCACTTATTATGTGCAAAAATATATAGCTCCATGCTATATATTTACTCCCTTTGAAAAAGCAAATATTTATGTTTTATTTTTTGAGATGAAGAATATATTTTTATTTTTATGGGATACTTGTAACGGTGTGATAGTTCAAATCCGTTGCTGAGTCACCAGAATAAATGATTCACGTTACTAAACTATGAAAGGAGTAAACTGGAATTTGATAGGGTATTAGAATTATAAAGTGTGCCTGTTGCACATCCTTACAACACTATAAATTCTCCAGGTTGTTTGTGGTTGTTGTTTTAGCATAGATCACACTAAACACACTGGAATGGCCATGGTACATCAGCCCATTAATTTGCAGTGTTCTTAAATGATTCTGATTTCAATTTTTTAAAAATTGACTATTTTAAAATGTAAATATTATTGGAAAATGTCATGTAAAAAAGCAATGGAGAAATAAATAGATGTGTTAAAAAATAGATAAATAAGTGGATCATACTTTTAAAATGATCTATATTAAATTACTTCACAACCCCAACAGGATGCCATGCTTGCAGCAAAAACCCATCTTACAAAAATTCTTATGAATGACCAATTGACTCTGTCTTAGACTCGTAAGAAAACATTTTTCTTTGGGACACTGTTGTCCCTTTCTAACATTTTTAAAGTTAACTTTTTAATCTCCCCCTGCCCCCAAAATTATTTGCAGGAAAATGTTAATAGCTCACATTAATGTAATAGCAGCTAAAATAATATTGTTTTGTGGCTAGTAAGATAGTATCTTCTTTGCTGACTATTGAAAAATAGTAAATAGACAAATTTAATCCTTTCCGTATCTTTTTAAAAGAGGCACATACTTCAAAAGTTAAAAGTACTTCAGAAAACAAACCGAAAGAATAGAAAATAGCACTATTTCATGCACTTCTGTACGGCATTAACCGCCACTCACTGTTAATTCACATTTTCGTCCAACACCATTTCTTTGTACAGATTCTAACAAACCATTAGATACTTAGAAATCCTCTTGGCGTTTTGCAAATTCTGTATTTTGACCTTACATTGAGGAAAATAAGCAACCTCTCCATTGCTCACCAGCCAAGTTTAGCTCTCATCATGAACTAAAAGGAAGACATTAAATCAGTTCAACCAAAATTTGCTGAACACCTATGATGTGCTCAGTCCGACAGTGCAACACAGCCCAGTCACACATTAGGCGCTAGTTTCCTCAGCCTCCATCCCGTAAGAATGCAGCCAAAGCTTAGGAAGACTCAGGAATTCTTTCAGGCCAATAAAGAGCAATTCAGAGCTTTCTTGTGGAATCGTGTAAACTGAAAACTATAATTTTTAGTTTTCAAAAAGAAAACCCTCATTTAAAAATCATCAATGTAAAGGGTAAAGTGAAATAACAGATGAATGCTTCCATGCATGCCTAAATTATATATTATCACAAAGAGGGAAAATATTAATTGATGATCAGGGAACCTGAAATAGTAAGAGAGACACCCATGTTTTGATTAACTATTCATACCACGGGGTCAATACTCTTTTTCTCTAAAGGGCCAGAGAGTACATATTTAAGCCATAGAGGGGCACACAACCTCTGTCGCAAATGCTCAACTCTGCCCCTGAAGCACGAATGGGGCCAGCGAAGGTCTGTAAAGGAATGAGCATGGTTGTGTCCAACACAACTGTATGAGCCCTGAAATTTGAATTTCACATAATTTTCCCATGCCATAAAATAGTCTTCTTTTGATTTTTAAAAACTCTACAAAAATATAAAAATCCTTCTTCGCTTGTGAGCTGTCCAAATACAGGCAGTAGTCCAGACTTGGCCCAGAGGCATCGGTTTACCAGCCCCTCCCTGTTCACCACAGAGCAAGACAGAGTCCCCAAACCTTCGCTTCATGCCCATGTTCCTCGCTTTCAACTAGGTCACAATATTTCAAGTATTTTCACTACTGGTTTCTTTTCAACTTTAAAGAAATTCTACTGTGAGTTATATTTTGCTTGTCATCTCTTTCACTGAAGTTGAATGAATATTTGTGTCCCCCAAATTCATATCCTGACACCTGGCCCCCAAGGTCATGGTATTAGAAGGTGTGTCCTTAGGGAGGTGATGAGGTCGTGACGGCAGAGCACTCAGGAATGGAATTAGTAGGCTTATAAAAGAGACCCCGGAGAGCTCCCTCTCCCCTTCTGCTATGTGAGGACACAGTGAAATGACAGGTTCCATGAACCAGAAAATGGGCCCTCACCAGGTGCCAAATTACCTGGTGCCTTGTTCTTAGGGTTCCCGGCCTCCAGAACTGTAAGAAATACATTCCTATTGTTTATAAGCCACCTACTCTATGGTACTTTGTTATAGCCAACCGAACAGACTAATACAGTGGATTCATGCTTCTCACCTAGCTCCCTGCGAGTTGAAATGGAAAACTCCTTAATTCTGCCCAATCTTAACTGTCCGTTGTAGCTCTGCTTCTGACTCAGTGTGCCATGACCCAAGTCCTTATGCCCTCCTCTCTAGACTGAGTGAAAAGCAAGAGCGGCTCTCTCAGCATATAATTTTCAACATCTTCAGCAAAAATAAATCTGGACATTCAGGGAAATCTAGGTCATAATTATAATGACTCATACTTTTAGAACCCTTGCCATGTGCCTTACACAACAACTCTTTTAATATTCCCAACAACCCAATCTAATAAGGACTATTTTATTCCCATTTTATAGTTCAGAGAACTGAGGCTTAACAGTTAACAAAACAGTTAACTGACTTGTCCATCCCCAGGCAGCTAGTGCATGTGACACACATAGGATTCAAAACCAGGTCTGGCTCCAGGGTCTGTGCTTGCTGCCAGTATAGTATCTCTACCAAAAAAATACATAGTATAGGTAAGATCTATTATCCTTTCGTCTGCCAGGCCTACTCTCACACCCCTTCCCACACTTGGTGGGAAATCCTGTCAGGTTCTTGAAACTGCATTCCAACTGCTCTGGGTTTTCTGTCTTTTTATTTCTCCCATTTCTACCTCGGCCATGCCCTATCTCTTCCAAGACCGTGATTTACATTTCTCACCTGGCAATGTTTCTTTAAACCACCTTGGATAAATAAATATCCAGCTAGATACAATAATTCAATCTGGAATCGCTTTGTTGCCGCTGGGTTGGCCTCAGGAACACAACATTAATTTGGATCTGTTGTCAGATATACTACTAAAGTTATTTGGCTTATCTGAAAGCCTGGCTTCCCAGGAACACCCACCATTAGCAAGTAGCATATGTAAACATACAACATTTAGTAAACTTGGCAGCTTTATCTCCTAAGCAAACTCATAAAATATTGGCTCCAGAAATTTTGATAAATTCCCTAAACAGCTTAGAAAAACATCCATCTGAAAAGTAAAACACCACTTTAAAATATCAGAGAGAGTCCAGAAACTTTTATATTTACATTTCTTATCCCGCAGTGATCATCTCTTGGCTATTAAATGAACAGCAAAACTAAACAGCCTGTCTTTGGAGGTGCACATGGGTCAGTGAGATGTCTTCATAAATCAGCCCCTTTCCACTTTTTTTTTGTGGAAATTGTAAGTTTCACAATAAATGGAGGTCAAGAGCTATCAGCATCAGTCTTTCTGACAGTGGCCTCAGGGGTCTTCATTTCCCTTCCATTTCTTCTATCATTCTCAGGGATAAGGTGCTTTATGTATGTGCTCTCGGCAGTAAGGTTCTCACCAGCATGTGACCCCCAATTTACTAGGCCCATAAGCTTTCCTTCCTATATTATATTTGTGGGTGAAAAAAGGGCTCTATGGAAAGTAACCTCGCAGGATGATCTGATCATAAATTCCTAACTGGGCAGGTCGTGGTGGGTAGTCATTCCCCAGGCAGATAACTTTTTAGTAAAAGGTTTATTTTTGCCTTAAGCAAGCCCTGGCCATTGTTGCTGTGCCTCTCTCTAGATTAACACACCTTCACCCTGGCCCAGTAGCGCAGCTGGTTAGAGCGTCATCCTGATGTGCCGAGATTAGCACACCTTTGAAATTACCACCCTCCAGAGAACACGTAATCTTGATTCACTCTCCGGTGATCCAATCCCCGCCCTGCTTCCCGACCCCCACCTCCGTGTAGTCTTTCTTACATTACCACCTTAATTTAAATGCATTAAAGAAGCTGCAACAGCAACAAAAAAGAGCTTCCCTGCATATGTCATCAGCTTGGCTCAAATAACCTCTTACAATAATTCTCTGGATGTTTCTTACATCAGCATATTGAACATCTAATGCCCCAGTTTTTCATATGTGTATCTTAGGCTTTTCTGAAAGCTACTCCATATTTCCAGCGGAAAATAAAATTTCCTTTTAGCACAGAGTAAAAATACTGTGTGCTACCTGAGTGGTAGTTGGGGAGTGGCTGGTTAAACAAATCTGTGTTTGATAACTTTTCACTTTGATTAGAAGGCTGAATAGTGACAATGCTGTACTTATTTTGAAAATGTACCTGTTGAAATCAGGCCAAGTGCAAGGCCTCGGCGGCTGTCAAAATACTGGCACGTAATGGTTACTGTTGCAGTGTATAATAAACCACATCCGAGACCTAAACATAAGAAGACATTGCATAAATTAATTACATATATTACTTCAATGCAAAAAGAAAAAAAAAAGAGGAATAATTCCGTTCTGTTACTGATTGGCTAAAACTTTTCAGAGTATGAGTTCCTAGATCCCTTCAATGTTAGTTGTGCAGCTCCCATGGACATATTTACGTGGACTCAGTCGTCACTCTGCACACATCCAAAGGTCAGGGTCAAGTTGGAAAAAATAATCCAATTTATAAAGCATAAATGATTAGTGAAAATTTAAATTAAGACATTATGGGAAGGAGAGAAAATGGTTAAACCACACACCAAAGAGCAAAATTTAATTAAATGTGCCCATTCGATACCTCTGTCTCTCTTCTAAGTTCCTGTTCTTAGCATCGTGTTTTTCTCCTCTGTGTCCTCTAAACGATTTTATAAAATTCCTTTCACTACCCCAACCTAGTTTACTAGAGCTCACAGCTTGCACACCTCAATTTGCAAAACAAAGACCCTCTGTTGTCCTCAGATTAACACATCACAGTAAAATGTATACTTGTAAGTTTTTATCTTTTAGAGCTGCAAACTACTAGAAACAAAAAAAAGGAGCTATGTAATAAATCTGACAAGCTCAGTGACGAAAGTCACCTCACAAGGTGATCTGATCATAAATTTCTATTTGGGCAGGTCATGGTAGTAGTCAAGCCCCAGGCCTATAATTTTCTCAGTAAAACGTTTACCTTTGCGTGAGCCTTGCTGTTGTTCTCATGCACCTAGGTAAACACGTCTTTGAAATGCCAGAGCAATCCTCTTTTCCAGGCCCCTCCTTTTGTAACCACCCTCAAGGGAGCCCATGATCTTGTTGCCTGAATACCATCTCTATTTACTGTCACTGTTACGTGTTAACTATTCTGTGCCCACTAATGTAAAAGGAGCATTTATTTCTCCATTTTTTTTATCCAATCTTGGAGATTTCCCCAACTTGCTTTCTCCTACCTCCTTAATCTACCACCAATGGATGTCATGTAATCGTCCTTCTGTTCCTTCCTTTGATTCCAAATGCATAAAAAGAACGGCAAAACTGCCATTCTCAGGAGCATGTCCTCAGTCTATTGAGATCTTACTTCTAGGCATGTCCTCAGTTTGGCTCAAATAAACACTTCTATCAGTTTGGACGTTCTTACAGTGGCACTACCTTCCTTAGACATAAAATGTCATGATGTCTTTAATTTAGTTGAAGGCATCTTCACAAAAAAAGATGAAACAGATAAAATAAAGTATTACTGACTTCACTTTAAGTGGTGAGCACAGAGTTGTTTGCCATGCTGTTCTCTACTTCTCTGTAAATTTGAACTTCCCTTTCTTGAGACGCAAGGTTCAACTTTTATCTCCGGATCTTCTCCAAGGTTGTTGTTTGCTCGCTTAATCTTTCCATCCCTATGAAGTACCTGATAACCCCAGTTTGTTTTTCATAAAATTTTCCTCTGGCCTGTAACCCATAACTTTTTGCTTTTCTTCTGTGACATCATCTGTTTTTGAGAATCACTCTATAGACAACACATAAGTTACAGTCTAAAAACCAATTTTTAACCATGGCCCATTAGGTGAGTTATTAAGATCATTTTCATTACTTTGAATTGCTACCTGTAATTAGAAAGCATACGTGGATTTAACGAATGTGTAACATAAACATTCTAGGAAATTCGCTCTTTAAAATAACCCAGGACTCAGGTGATCACCTTTGATTGCATAAAAAGTCCTCTTAAAGAAATGAGATAGATTAAAAGAATTACACTTAAGTAAACCTTTTTAAACTAAAGCACCCTTTTGTATGAGTTAGGGAAGAAATACTAACAACTGAAACAGGAGTTGGGTTGATTTATACGATTGCATTACTATACATGGGACACTTTAAGACTTGTTTCTGAACAATTAGTTTTGTGAAGTCAAAAAAAAGGTCACCCTGTATTAAGACTATACTTCAGAAAGCTTTTGGAGGAGGAATGAAATTACTTTCCTGTGATTTGGCTGTCAGGGCTCTTACAAATGTTAGATATTTAGAGACGCATTAAAAAGAAAGGCCCAATTACTAAATGCCAGTGTAGAAAAGTTGAAACAGCAGCTTTTAAACTTTTAATTTTAAACAAAAAAGAAAGAAGTTTTGAAAAATTATTTTAAGGCCATGGATTTCAGATAAGATTCTCTCTCTTTTTTTTAAATGTAACATAAATTCGAAATGTCTTTTCTCTAACCTTTTTAAAAAGCAGCAGGTGGCATGAGGCCTCCCCACATCTGTATCAGGATGACCTTAAATCAGTAGTTATTAAAGAGAGGTCTCAAAAGTCCCTCAGATCTTTTTGGAGCCTGTAAAGTCAAACTGTTTTCACAGTAATGCTAAGATGTTCTCCGTTTCCTTTTATTTATTGTGTTCACATTTATGCTGAATGTGCAAAAGAGATGGTGAGTAAAACAGGGAGAGCCTTAGCACAAATCCTGGTATTGGTTCCAAATTTTACACCTTGTGTGCTTCACCACCACACCCTCACAGTAAAAACAAACAACATTTAAAAAAATGCTTCATCTGAATTACAATTGTTGCAAAGAAAAGCCACTTTTTTTTTTTTTTTTTTAAATATAACCCTGTTTGTACTTGAAGGAATATCTGAAAGACAAATGATGGTTACTCAGACTTGGGTATTTGGCAGATGTTTCCTTGAAAACAAATTAACAAAGGAAATAACTGACAGTCATTGTTACCAATGATAAAAATTAGAGCTCTCCAGAAAAAATAAGAACTTTGGAAATTTGTATCCATCACCATTAATTTGACATCTTCCCAATACATAAAGACTTTCTGATGAGCCTACTGGTGATACTAACAAATATGATATTTTTAGATGTTGTATAATGAAATGTGCCATCATTTTAAAATTCTTGCATAATTTAGCAAACCAGTATTTTTCAATATCAATTCATGATGTTACAAAATCAGGTTTGAATGCAGATCTATTCAAAGTACAGAATAAACAAGTTCATTTAATATAACAGAGCACAAAAGTCTATTGATATGGTATCAGGTTCCAAATTGCAATTAAGCTTCAGAAAACTGTCACTTACTGAGTGACAAAGAATATCTACAATTACCTGAAAAGGCTATGAAAATCTCCTTCATTTTCCAACTACATCTTTGTGTGAGACCAGATTTTCTTCATATACTTCAGTCAGAAAAACATATTGCAACAGATTGAGTACAGAGCAGAGGGAAGAATGCAGGTGTCTTCCATGAAGCCAAACATTAAAGATATTTGCAAAAATGTAAAACAATGTTGCTCTTCTCACTTACTTTTGTTTTGCTATGAAAAATAACTATTTTTCATAATAAATATGTTAACATGAATTAGGTTTGTTATTATCTTTAAATAAATTACTAAACAAATATTTTTAAATTTCTCAGCTTTTAAGACCGTAAATCTTAACAGGATATATATCAATAAATGTAATCTACATATTCAAAAGCACCTTGGGGTCCTAAATAAAAGAGTATAAAGGGACCCAAGACTAAAAAATTTGGAAAACACTGCCTTAAAACATTCCCTGGTCTCCAATTATTTATTAGACTCCTACCAGTGAAAAAAAATTCTGAGCATCAACCTCCAGTATAAGCATAATAGTTTGAAAGCTAAATATCTGTACTGCTAACAATTCAAAGCCTAAACATTAGTAAACTTTCATTGTTTCCTTTACTTAAATAGGTAAAAACTAAATATACTTAATCGTCTAACATTTCCTTTTCACACCTCATGTTCCATTTCTCGCACCGCAGGGTGAGACCACAACTTCAGAGGCCCTATGTTCCCTCATCTCCTCACCCCAACCCAGACATCAAGCTGCTTATGACACCCACTGCCAAAACCATCACCCCCACCCCCCGCGTTTCTGCATTGCCACTGCCTCAGTTCACCTTCTCATCTTTTCTCATCTGAACTATAGCTTTTCAGTGTCTGTTTCAGCCTCTGGTCCTTTCTTCCCACCATTCTATCTTCTAAACTGCTGCAGCACAGTTCTCATCACATCACACTCCTACAATAGCGTGCATGCAAAACCCCTCTCTGCAACCATGCTTTGACGTATTTGCAAGGCCCGTGTGACTTGTGCATTCCTTAACCAGACGTCCATGAGAAGGCCGCATTCTACTTCATGCCTCTGAGCAGCTGAGTTCCTGCAATGTTCTCTTCCCATCACTCTCAATCCCCTTGCAACCTGAGTCCTTCAAAGACTAACCTCAAGCGTAAATTCTCGAATGAAGCCCCTTTCAGCTCCTCTCCACCCCACACATACATAGCACACCAGCCCTGAATCTTGGTTTCAGTTTATTACTGCATTTTTTTTACTGCGCTACAAGTTACAAACTTAAAAGCCTATTTACCTAACTAGACAGAGTTACCTGAGGGCAGGCTGTGTCTTACTCACCGGAGCATCCTGGTTCCAGGTCTGAGCCTGGTATGGAGCAAATGTTTTAAAAAATGTCTATTGAAGTTGCCATGAAAGGTGATGTTGTAGAAGTCAATTTATTGAATGTAAAGATGTGCATGACAAGTGTTCAAAATATATAAGCAGAATATACAGAACAATCATTTTATGTATGTATGTATACATATATAGTATTTATATGGGTATATAAATAAAATATACATATTTTTAAAATTGAAATAAAGTACCATAATATTGTAAAATGCATCTTTTAAAAAATGTTTTTATTGATTTGAGAGAGGGAGGAAGAGAGAGAAACATCCATTGGCTGGGGATTGGGCCGCAACCCAGGCATGGGCCATGACCAGGAATCGAATTGGTGACCTTCTGGTGCACAAGACAATGCCCAACCAACTGAGCCATACTGGCCAGGGCTATAAAATGTGTTTTAATCAGAATACATAAAGCAAGCACTTCTAAGAACTAGCATATGAATAAATAATCATGCAAGTGAAATTTTGATTTAGTTCTAGGGGACAGCAATAAAACATTTGAAATTGTGTACATATTTTGAAAAATGTCTATGAATTATTTTTTAATATCCTGTCATTATATACATATTTTTTCTGTGGAACTGAACAGACATCTATGGGGCCCTTGCATTTATAACATAAAAACTTCTCCCTGCAGTATTGCTTTCATGAAAATGAAACATTTCAGTAACAGTGCATTCTAATAAGGCAGTGTTAAGAAGTGCTGAGCGGAGCTGCAGACTCCAGACTATGTGTGGGGGAGGGGAACCAACTCACTCAGATTTGCCCAGGACTTTCCCTCGCTTGACCACTAGAGGCCTCCCATCCAGGAAAAGTCCTCAGTCCTGGGCAAACCGGAACAGTTGGTCCCTGCAGTGTGCGGACCTGTCTCTTGGTCATTTGGGAGAATTCCTGTTCTGTACATTCTGAAACACTCATTTGAACAAATTCTTTAAATACCTGAGCCAGTATATCTTATATTCCTATTCAGAGGTTAGGATTGGCAATTGCAAATAGTATTCCAGAAATACCTATTCTTGGAAACAGGTAATATGCATGGTTCTTAAAAGAAAAAATACCCCGGCCCCAGTCAGGGTGTGTGCTGGAGGCAACTGGTGGATGTTTCTTTCTCTCTCTCTCCCTCCCTTCCAGTCTCTCTAAAAATCAATGGAAAAAAGTCCTCCTGTGAGGATGCTGCGAAAGATAAATAAGGTTAGAGCATCCAAATAAAGGGTAGCTAAATGTTGGTTAGAGTAGCTAAATGTAGGTACTGTTATGTTTCTAACCTAAAACACCTGCGTGGGAAGTTTAAAGTCCAAGTAACTGGCTAGTTTTTTGTTTTTTATTTTTTTTTATTGGCATGGCTCTAAATTGTATATACTTAGCCTGAGTAACCCAAACATGACATTGATTGGTTAAGAGCACAGGCATAGGTTCAAATCCCAACTCTATTACTTATTGGCTGTGTGACTTTGGGAATTTGAGAATTTACTTAAACTAATTTTTAGTTTTCTTATCTTTAAAACAATCTCACAAGATAATTAAAAGGGTTAAGAGATGTAAAAAAATGTAAAAGATTTAGTATCTGTACCTGGAACATAATAAAGTACTGAAAAATAGCTATTATATTGATACATTTTTTCACTTTTACCTGAGTATTATGGCATTATGTGGATATAACCTGAGACTAATTAGAAAATCATAGTTCCTTATTATAATTGAACATCCATGAGAGACAAAAGACTATCTTTAATGATATAACTGTTAAAAATCAGAAAGGGCGTATAAAACTCTAATTGCTAAAGCGAATATATAGGAAATAACCTTTATCTCAATTGCTAGAACTAGAGCAGGAGAATCAGATTTTCTATGAATGTGGTTTTTCCCCTCCCCAAGCTCAATGGCCTATGCAGATGTTACCAAGAAAATGATGGAAAAGAAAGTAAAATTTTTCCAAAAATCAAGAAGGGAATATTAAGAAAACAGTAATCAGGTGGCTAAATAACAATGTTTTGAAGAAAGAGAAGGCGAGAAATTGATTTGGAGTTCTACTTTTCAGGAAAGCAAAGAGAAATTATTGGGGAGAAGCTTGAGCAATTCATTAAGGGCACATTTCCTGCACCCCCCCCCTC